TTATAACGCGGTGCGGACGGTAACGCCGGCAAATAGCTTAAGAACATCGCGTAACACATCGCGTACGGCATTTATATATCGCTGTGGGATCTCTCCTCTCTAAAGTCGTGTACACAGCGAAGAGAAGAATCGTCTTTCCATGCGTAATAGCGCGCATTGCAATCCAACAGTGCCGTGCTATTGACTTCCAAGAACCATGAGTCGCGTTAAACAACTAACAATAATTTTAATCTTAATTATAACGCGACATATACATACATACATACATACATACACAGATGCATACATACATACATACATATATAAATTTTGCTAAGGCGAAACAAATAAAAGTATTACAGAGTAAGCAAAAAGACAATAATAATGAGGTTCAAATTAAACAACTCGCGTCATTAATTTTCCTAATGTTTGTTAATCTTTTATTAAAAATCATCATTATAATTGTATACCTTTCAAAAGCATATTATGATGATGATTTTTATAAAAAATAAAATATATATATATATATATATATATATATACACATACATCTTCAATTGATCTGCAATATTGCGTTTATTTACGCGATCTTCATTTCTCACTAATTTTATTGTTATTTTACTCTTTCGACAGGTGATACAAGAAAAACAAAAATGCTCGCCTGCGAAACACTTGTTTGGTATATACATAAAAAAAAAAAAAAAAAAAAAAATAATTTTAATGTCATTGCCACATTATTCGTAACAACATTAATACATTAATAAAGATCTATAAATGAAACAAAAGACGCTGCACAAAGTATAATTTCGATCAATAATAAATTACATCTCATCTTGATTTTTATAAATATAACGAAAATAAATAATTTTTTGAAGATGCATTTGTCAGCACTGCAAATCTCATTGGATATATATATATATATAAAGAAATCATTTGTCGCGAGAAGCATTAAGGAAAATGTTAGTTAAATACAAAATGTCGGCACTTTACACTCGATAAGCGACCAAATAATAAGCATCGTAACTTGCTAATTGCACTCATAGATGGTTCGCCTCTGTGTGTGTATGTGTGTGTATGTATGTATGTTTGTGTGCATATGTGTACACGTGGATTAGGTAAAGATGATTTCATCGTGTAATTTATAATTCATCGCAAACACGATCTCGCTTTTTGTAACGTTTATCTGCTACTCCTATTGTAAATTGACGTAATTAATTAATAAATAACCAAAAGCGATATTGAAAATTGAAAAGAAGAAAAAGAAGAAAGAATAGAAAAAAGGAAAGATAAGAAAATTGATAGATTTTCGATAAACCGATTTGAGGATCGATCAATCTATAAATTACACGAGTATGATGTACATATATATAAGAGATGCGCGTTATTTTTTGCTCCCTCAAAGAATGAAAAAAAAAAAAATCTTGCAATAAGATGCTCTCTTACGATACGAAGAGAGTCACTTTGATCAATTAAACGAAACGATCAACGAGGAATTGGTTTGTCCTATTGAGAAATAAAAGTTACGGAAGAGTTAACGACTTATTTATAACACTCGATATTCCACAAGCTTCTAATATATATGTATGTGTGTGTGTGTGTGTGTGTGTGTATTGGGTTGTCCAGAAAGTTCGTGCCGATTTGTGGTAGGTAAAGTAATGACAAAATCGGCACGAACTTTCTGTACAATCTAATATATATAAATATAATTAAAAAAAAATAATAATAATATAATAAGAGACCACCTGTATATGTAAATTCATATAAAAAAAATAATTTCAATTACAATGGAAAAAAAAAAAAAAATATATGATAATCTTTTAAACGGTGAATGTACGAAGGCGATGCATCAACAATAAAACCTTCTCGACCGTGCACATTTTTAATAAAAAATAATTTCAATTCTGATGAAAAAGAAAAAGAAAAAAAAAAAAAAAAGAAAGAAAGAAATGAAAAACAAAAAGAAAAAGAGATAACTTTTCGATCGGTGATTGTAAGAAGGCAATGCACCGATAATAAACTCTAATGAAACCTTCTCGATTATATTCATAGTTAAGTTCAAGGCTCTGCAACTTGATCTATGAGAAATTGGATGCAATTGTGTTGTACTATTGCATCGCCGATCGTCGACACGAGAGATATAAAAATCGAGGACGAAGTTTTTTTCTTCTTCTTCTTCTTCTTCTTCTTCTTTTTCTTTTTCTTTTTCTTCTTTTACTTGCGGAATACGTATGAACGAGAAAATATCTTACTTAGTTACATATTTTTATATATCTTTCGTAATTTATTACACCGCTGAGTTTATTTATTATAAGTTCTTACATAACATATATATATATATATAGAATGTATTTGTAAAAGAAAAAAAAAAAAAAGAATTAATGATGCAGTAAAAATAAAAAAAAAAGTATAGAATAAAAGAAAAGGAAAATAACGATGTCTCCGATTGCAACAACAATTTTGTTTCATATTCTTAGCCGATGTTATAATAATAAATTGAATGGGGGCAACGCGCAAAAACACGGAATTAAAACGAATGAGATAAATTGTTCAAGAACACAAGAGCAAACGTGTCATCGTGAAAATAAATGTTCTTATTAGCGACAGTGTATCATACAAGTATACATGTATATATGTGTACGTGTTTGCATGTATATATATATATATATATATATATATACACATATATATATATATATATATGCGTCTCTCTCTCTCTCTCTCTCTCTCTCTCTCTCTCTCTCTCTCTCTCTCTCTCTCTCTCTCTCTCTCTCTCTCTCTCTCTCTCTCTCTCTCTCTCTCTCATTCTGTATATGTATTAGTATTGGCACGCGTACCTGTTTATTTCTGCTCCAAATTGATTGGAAAATATTTTGACAGGACGACAGTGAACCGTAACTTCTATTAGATCCTGGCGAAGAAAAGGATGAAAAAAATATCGTATTCCTTTGATTCGTTGATAACAAATTTGTTCTCTCATCGATATCCTGATTAAAATTCGACGACATTTTCCTTTAGATCTTTAGACCGCATAAATAATAATAATAATAATAATAATAATAATAATAATAATAATAATAATAATAATGATGATAATAATAATAATAAGAGGAATTAGTACGATCTCTTCCACTTCAGAATAAAACTCGATGATCTTGCAAAAATAATTCTTCTCCTTGAAATCTTATATCTTGCTCTTTGATAATGTTCCACGACATATTTTCAGATAATTTCATGCGTAAAAAAAAAAAAAGAAAAAAAAATAACACACAAGATGAATCATATAATATAGATTGATAAATATCGTTGCGCGCTACGAATCGATTATACGAGAGTTCGAAATCCTTCAGATTAGATTTTTCGGTATAAAAAAAAAAAAAAAAAATAAATAAGTAAATAAATAAATAAATAAAGCACACTAATTTAAAAATCATTTCCCGCAATTCTTCAGTCACTATACATATACATATACATATACATATACATATATATATATATATTGTTTTTATGAATTCATTTTAATAAACACACAACAATTGTTTTATTTGTTTTCAAAAGCACTTTCATCTTCCTTCGAGATCACTAAAAGTTTCTATAAAATTTCATTATTTTGAACTGTGTACTTTTATATTATAAATCAATCAAATGAATAATTCAATAAAGATTCTTCCTCATTCAATTCCTCTCTCTCTCTTTCTCTTCCTATTTCAAATAGAAGATCTACTATTAATATAACATAATAAAATATTATCAAAGCGATATATATAGACATGGAAAATAATTCGATGGTGGTAAGAATATTCAATGGAAGAGCATAAAATATTTCTTGAAATAAGTACATCATCATTGTTGGGAATTCTTCTTGTTATATCGGAAATAAAAAAAAAAAAAAAAAGAAAAGAAAAAAAAAAAAAGCACAAATTAAAAATATACACGAAACAAAGGCACTTTTCTTCGAAGGACACTACACCGAAGAACACTATCGAACGTTGTTCGTATAAATGTTATTAGGTTCGTTGAAGAAAATAATATCGTTTAACGCGTAAAATGTTTTTCCTCTCTCTCTCTCTCTCTCTCTCTCTCTCTCTCTCTCTCTCTCTCTCTCTCTCTCTCTCTCTCTCTCTCACTCTCTCTCTCTCTCTCTCTCTCACTCTCTGTCTTTCTCTTTCTCTCTCGCTCTCTCTCTTGTCGTCGTTCACCCTTCCAAGATAAATTATTTATTTCTACATTGAGGAAAGAATTTCTACGATTCCTTACGACCGATCGAATTTACAACGATTTAATCATTTCGATCAAACGATCTAACGTCGATCGAATATGAAGATATTCAACTCATGATCCTCTATATATATATATATATATATATATATATATATATATATATATATATGTATGTATGTATGTATGTATGTATGTATATATACAAAGTTCAATGTACTTGGGAAAAAAAAAACATTTTTATTGTTTTTTTGTTTAGTTTTCGTTTCTCCTCTCTCTCTCTCTCACACACACACACACACACACACACTCTCTCTCTCTCTCTCTCTCTCTCTCTCTCTCTCTCTTTCTTTCTCTCTGTTACATACAACCACACACACACTATCTCTCTCTCTTTCTTTTTCATCAACAATCGGTATTATAGTTCGAACAATAACTTCGTAAATCACGAGCCATAGACGTTGTTTACTCAACGCGGGGAATCGATGACACTCGACGAGAATATATTGTTATCTTATAATATTGTCCACATACATTGAAATTGTTTCACAAAAAAAAAAAGAAAAAAAGAAAAAAAAAAAAAAGAAAAAGAAAAGAAAAAAAAAAAGAAAAAGAAAAAATCAAAAGAAGAAAAAAAACAAGAATAAAAATAAATTTTATATAAACGCGATTTCGATTCTAATAAGAAGAGGAAGAGAAATAGAAGGAGGAGTAATAGTAATAAGTACGTAAGCATGTAAATAAAAGAAATATTTCTTATGATCGACCTTTATATGCGTATACGTTAAATTCAAAATAACAATCGAACAGAATATAACCGATTCTTTTCACGTTTCAGAAGATACTTACAGATAATGAGACGATACTAAGTTATAACAGTTCAAAAGATATCCACTATCTTTACTTGGTAGCGTATTTCCAAACGTATTGACCATTATAATACGTACATACATACTTATTTATGTTATCTTATTATTTATCTTATCTTTTTAAAAATCCATTCATATTTTCTAAAGACAAATCTTGGACAAAAGGAAAAAAGCAACAAAAGGTCAAGATCTTTAACGGATGATTTTAAGTGACCGTATCGGAAAATTTGTTTGAAAAGAAAAAAAGAAAAAAAGAAGAAAAAGAAGAAGAAAAAGAAAAAAAAGAAGACAGAAAGAAAAGAAAAACATAAATAAAGAGAACATAAAAAAGGAGAAGACGGAATTGATAATGAAAATATCATAATATATCATCATCATCATCATCATCATCATCATCATCATCATCATCATCATCATCATCATCATCATCATTATTATTATTACTATGAGTATATTTATGAGGATTAAACGAACATAAAGGGGCTTTGTGAAACATTATAAATAACCTACTGCAATGGAAAGTGGACTATTGTTATCAAAGTCTAAATTAAATAAATTACTAAAGCCATAGTTCTGTAATCTCGATCTATTACGATTGTTATCTAAATCGATACGAATGCAAGAAAGATAAGTAAATTGCTGAAATAATGTCTCTTTTTCTTCCCATCCCCTCTCTCTATTCCCCTCCCCTTTCTCTTTCTCTCTCTCTGATGTATGTATGTGTGTATGGATATATATATGTATGTATATAGGTAAGTATACATACTTTCATAAATAAATAATTATTGACACAATATTATTGATAAACATTAACAAAAAATATAAAATATCGACGTCGCACTCGATTAACCATTGAAACATAACAATGTGAGCTAACTTAAATCAATATTAATTCAAGTTAATGAAGAAATCTCTTAGAAGCCGGTATCAATTTAACCGAATAATGATAGCCAACTAAAGATAAGAAACACGTGTTTCGAATGATATTTCAATACAAGGACGTTGTTACGAGACGTCAATCCAGAGATCATTTATATATATATATATTGTATATAACACTCATGTTGAGAAATATTTTTTATTTTGTGTAATTTGTACTCCCTATATACGTATGCGTGTACGCGCCTATGTGTTACGTAATATACTATAAAAAATCTAAACATCGTAATCTTGTCTTTTTCAGATAATAAAAATTCAAGCTATATTCTAATCTATGGACATTTCAAAACGTTCAAGTTCAAAAAAGAAGATCTAATCCGAGATATTATATTTAAAATTTTTACTTAGACTATTGAAAATTACGTAAAATTCGTTTAGACTTATAAAATACTCACCTCCTTTTTTTTTCTTTCTCTCTCTCTCTCTCTCGATTTCTCGATTATATATATTTTGAATTAAAAACAGGCGACAAAAATTTTCTTAATCGTAATGATATGTATGGAATTTTTTAATTGACATCATCGTGATATACGATGAGTAAGTAATATTTATAAAGAACAAACAGATATAATGACATTTCAAAAAATGGACCAATAAGAAAGGGACGTTTTTCTAAAGGCGATCGTTCATTCGTTTACGCTTCGCGATTTCGTTATTAATGTTGTCATTCGTAATAATAATAAAAAGAACAAAAAAAAAGGTTGTTAAAATACTTTTTGAAATAAAATTGATTGAACGATGAAATTTTTTTTTTTCTTATAGATAATAAAAAAAATATATTAGGTGAACCGGAAAGTAATGTCGTTTCTGCGCATGTCGATATTTGATTGTCATTTGTCACTCATTGTGTATTTCGATTTATTCGATTTATCGAATTTAAGAAAGCGACATTACTTTCCGGTCCCCCTAATAATAATAATAATAATAATAATAATAATAATAATAATAATAAAATAACAAGAACAATTCCATTGAAAGAAAGAAAAGTTGTTTCGTCTATACAAAATATGCTTTTAAAAGTAACCTTCCATTGGCGCGTTTTCACGCGATTGAAGTAACCTAACGAGTGATAATATTTCTAAAAAATTATCCATTACTCGTGTATATATGATTAATAAACAATAAAATATATTTTATTGTTGAGCATTTGTTAAAGGTATAAAAAAAGAATTTCGTAGAGAAAAGAGGTATCTTAAGAAGTCTTTCTCTCTCTATATATATATATATATATATTTTTTTTTCTTTTGTATACTTGTCAAGTTGTCATAATAAAACTCCCTTTGGGAGGTATATTTTTTTCAAATCGGAATACATAGATAGAAGGCGCAAGCGTGACAATGAACCCTGTAAAAATGCACGCTTGCAAAAGACCGTCGGTAACAAAGGAATTGTAAATCTATCGTTGCATTCTGCCTTTTATAAATTTCTTTCGAGGAATACAAAAGAGAATTAATAAGTATTTCGATATACGTTCAGTTAACATTTTAACATTCGTGTATTTTAAAATATTGAAAGAATAAGGAAATGAACATGTTTAATGACAGAATCCTTACAATATAACTTTATCGATCAAGCTGCCTGTCTCTCTATATCAAGAGTTGGGTACGTCCCCATCACGCAGGATGTTTTTTTTTTTTTGCTATTAACAAATTCTAACCTCACCTGAAAATAAGACACGGTTTTAATTCTTTCTTCTTAATAGCACCGAACGTTAACGAACATTACACGAGGACAGTTTTCTTTCATCGAAACAATCACATTTGGCGCGCACAAGGAAAAACAAAACCAACGTTTACAATGTATTACACGACAAACTGGCACGCTCTTCTACTTCCGTTCGTTGCAATGAAACGAACAAAGCGTCATTCACCAGGAGGCGCTTCGCATCTTCTATCAGCTGATTTTTCCTTCCTAAACTCTCTGCCGCACGTGTCTACTTTCATAATATAATATATCGCGCGAATCTCTTTATGATCATGGACGTCAAGTTATTCGTATGTTACAATTGCGTATAATTTTTCTTCTAATATTTTCTTTTCTTATTGTATTCTCTAAAGAAGTATTCGTGGTATGTAAATAATATAATTTCAAAACTTTAAAAAGTAACAATTGATACATATAACAGTATACAATATGTCAACGTCAGTCTCATTACCACAAAAGAAATATTATAGACAACGTGCTCATTCCAATCCTATTGCGGATCATTGCATAGAATAGTAAGGAATTACTTTAATAGAATGTAGATTTTGTTAAATTATTTGTCAATTAATTGTTGATTACTTTAAATCATCCTTCCTTTTCTTTTTTTTTTTTGGTTCTTTGACACGAATGAAATAGTCCTATAAAACCAGATTTAATGAATTGGAGCACATTTTTTCCTCGATACTTTTCTAACGATGAAGACGATGAAAGAAACAGGGATATTATTCAAAGGCATGTAGAATTTGCTGATATTGGTTGCGGTTATGGAGGCCTCCTTGGTAAGTTTTACTATATTTCTATATTAATTTACTAAAAATTAAAGATGGGGAAAAAAAAAGAAAAATAATATATTTGTAAAATAGTTACTTTATCGCCAATGTTCCCTAATAATTTAATACTTGGTATGGAAATCAGAGTTAAAGTATCAGATTATGTAACAGATCGCATAAGTGCATTGCGATCTCAAAATCCAGGACAATATGAAAATATAGCTTGCTTAAGGACCAATGCTATGAAATATTTACCCAATTACTTTCATAAAGGACAGGTATGAGAATTTAATTGACAAATGATTCTTTATTGAAGAAATAATGATACTTCAATTCCTCATTAACTTTTATAATTTATAGTTCTATAGCTAAATCAATCTTTACAATTTATATAGCTAAAGAAGATGTTTTTTCTATATCCAGACCCACACTTTAAAAGATCAAAACATAAATGGAGGATAATAAATAAAACCCTTCTAGCTGAATATGCATATGTCCTTGCAGAAGATGTAAATATTTGTTATTTTATTTCTAATATATATTTCCTTCTAATAATAATAATATAAAATAAATATGAATTTAAAGGCTATCATATATACAGTAACTGATGTAAAAGATTTACATGAATGGATGGTACATCATTTTGAAGAACATCCATTATTTGAAAGTATTCCTAAAGAAGAATGGGTAAGAGCTTCTCAATGAATAATTCTATTCTTTATTTTAACTGAATTTTTTTGTATACTTTTTTTTATAACTTTACATTCACTTAAGATTTTCATATTTCATAATAATTTAATATAACTTAATATATTTCAATAATTAAAAATATTCTGTTATATTAAAGGCTAAAGATCCTATAGTTGAGAAACTTTATGAAAGTACGGAAGAAGGCCAAAAAGTAACAAGAAATAGAGGAGATAAATTTTTAGCTATATTTAAACGAATTGCCGATCCAAATGTTATAAAAACAAGCTAACGTACGATACACTATATATCTGCTAAAATAAATATCATTTTTTATATTGAGATCTAAATAATTGATAAATATTAATCCATAAAAGAAACTCTAAATTGTTTGAGACGATTTCTTAAGATATCATGAAAGTCATCCTCAATTTTATCATTTGCTTGTAATACGGGTATTAGTTTTGTATCGTTTAAGTGCCTGATATCTTTTTGCATACATAAATGTTCAGTTTCCAAATGAAATTCTTCGTGTATTATAAAAAATAGCATCTAAAAATATTGCAAAATAAAATTAATATATGAAAAACTTCGAATAATATTATTTCACCTTTTCTAATATAGTTGCAATTAACTTTTGTGGTGGTGCTATATATGATTTCATTATTAATTTTTCACTTTCTAATGGATTTGTAAAAAAATGAGAATAATACAAGTGTGGTCCATTAAGTGCATATTCTTGAATTGTATGTTTAAATATTCTACTATTAAGAATATCCCTAGAAAAATATATAGATCTTTTAATTATTAGATAGAATTTATAATATTATCACAAATATTACCATATCATTCCTTCTAAAATGAACAATATCATTTTAGTATGTCCATAATTATTAGAAGATTTTATATTGTCTTCTATCTGAAGTTCATCAGTTGGAGTCATTTTTAATTCTTCCATTAATTTGGTTCTTAAAAGAATATCTTCTGGACTGTATATATTACATTGTATGGACAATGCTTTGCAAAATATGTCAGGCTTTCCTTCTGGTTTTGATGGTAACTTCTAAAATAAAAGAGATATCATTTATTAAATATTTATTATATGCTTTTAAATATTTGACAAGTAATTATTACATCTATTATTTCAAATCCTTACTGGAAAATGTTCACCTTTTTCTGTAAAAATAAATTCTGACTCCAGTTGTTTACATATCTCATTATATTTATAAATATTCCTTTGAAAAATTCGTCTTTGGCTAATATTAATAAATTCACAAATTACGTTAATATTTACTTGACAAGTTAAACTTTTTGTATTAATTATTATACGAAAACTTTGATGTTTTCTAGGCTGTATAACACCTTTTTTGGGATGTACTTCTATATTCCATAATTCTGATACATTATTACTATAATAAAAAAGATGACTTATTTAATAAATATTTATTATAATATGAATTTGAAGATTTAACATAATTACAAACTTTTCCCATGTATAGGAGAATATATCATATTTTGTAGCATTATACATCACAAATATTTTAACAACACGGCTATGTATACTTGTGCATAAGTGTATATAATCGACCGAAAAATATATTGGTAATTCATTGATTTCATCATCATCAAAATTAGGTAGAATTTCTCTTATCACTTTAGGTGGATATACAATAGACGGTTGGCTACTTATAAATAATTTTGTTTTTTTATTGCCGAAAGTAATAGGAAGATATGCCTGAATGAATTTTATATTTATTTAAAAATAATATACCTCAAAAAAAATAATATTGAAAAAGGTCATATTTTAATACCTCAATTGCTGTAAATTGTTTAAGATGATATTTCAAAATAAGAGGTGTAAGAGATTGTGGCTCTGCAATACCATCTGGATTTAAACATGCAAATATTTCTGAATGATAGATTTGATTTATTTTATGTAGATCAGTAATATCCACAGTATATGGTAAATAATTATTTGTATAATTATAAATCCAATATATCTAAAAGTCAATATTAATTTAAAAAGAAAAAAAAATATATATATAAGAGAGTAAAATAATATTTAGAAAATCTCTTAATAATTAACCTGATGTTGTGCTTTCTTATTGGCAAAATAAGTGTCCAATTTTACAACTTGTGGATAAAGTAAATATAGTTCTTCTTCAGATCCAGATAAAGCTTCTACTTGCATATACAAAAAAATATGGCGTTCATGGCCAATATTTAAATCCCATTTTACTTGAGTTTTTCCCAATAATAAATAACGTAATTCTATATTAAGTGTAATTATTTCTTTTGGCTTTGAGAGAGAGAGAAAGAGAGAAAGAGAGAGAGAGGGAGAGAAATTGAATTATATTAATTTATATGGAACAAATGTACTTGATCATTTTGTTTACCTTTACTAATCCTGATTGTGGATAAATAGAACATACTTTCCTATGAACACAATCAAATTCCATATATCGGAATGAGAGGCCTCGCGATTTACTTATTCTTTTACAAAAGCATAATTGTATTCTTTTAATATCCCATTTAGTATTCACTGATGTTGGATTAGATATATGTAATTTTATACGTATAGTATTTTCATGTAATAACATTGGCGGGAAAAATATATATTGTGTTTCTTTCTCATATGGCAATATATTTTTCAACATAATATTTAATCTATATAAAGAAACATAATATAATATAAAGTCTCTTCTTTTTATAATGTCTAAATACAAATATTATAAACTTAATGAAACATACCTATTTACTTCTATTATTTTCCATAAATTAATTTTAGATATTGATGAGCAAATTCCATAAAATTGTACATCTTCGATCTATCGTGTGAAATTATAATTATTCTTAAATCAAATCTCAAAATGAAAAATTTCAAAGTATTGCATATTTACTTTTAAAGTGGGCAATTCACACATACAATAAACATTGCATATTTTTCGAGGTAATTGTATGTAACTTATATTATCCGTCGAAGAATTAATTTTTACTATATATTTAATCACTATTTCATAAAACCCTGAAGTGTATGGTGTAAGAGATACAACGATTTTTTTTGACTTTCTTGAAAGAACAGTCTCAGAAAGTGGATATATTTTTACATCACGTTCTATACATCCTATTGGCCAAGATTTATGGCAACATATTATTTTGAAAGGTATATTGACAGAACTGAAGTTATAAAGATAAAAACTCTTAGTTTTTGTATTTCCATATAGTTGTACATCAAAATTCAATTTATTAGGTATTGCCTGTCAATTTAAAACATTAATAAGTTAAATTATTAAACAAATATATGATATGTGAATTACCACAAGTAAACCAGCTTCACATTTTCCAGTAACGTGCAATATTATGCTAATTTCTGCTCCAACAGGTAAATCATTTTGTATGATCGTCAGAATACATTTAATATCAAAATTATATTCACCACATTCGGTAGGATGAAATACCCATTCATAAGAATGAATATCATTAGCATAGATCTGGCCCTTCAAATGTGGAATAATCAATTGTGATGGTACATTCAAAAATTCATACCTATAAATTGTTTATTGTTATAAAAAACAAATTATTCATTTACACTAATTGAGTTCAATAACATATTACATAATAATGTGACGAGTAAGGTTTCTTATAAGTATTTGTTCTTTTTGCTGTGTATCTAGATGTGTTGTAACAAATGTTATTGGATTATTATTAAAACTAATATTTGCATATTCTGTATATCCTTTAAAACTAATATAATCTTTGTTCTTTAGATTTCCATTAAAACATATGGCCCATTGTTCCATATATAAATGTTCTCCTATCATTTTAGGACACATTTGAACTACCACTATCTGATAATCTCTAAAATATTAAAAAATTATTTTATCTTATAATCTTAATATTAAATTGTTATTATCATCTTAAAATCTTACTCATAAATAATTCCTAGCATTGGTTTGACAACAAAATGGCTATCAGCTGGAGGCAAAAAATGAAACATTAAAGGCAAATGGCCAAATTTCTTAATTACAAATGTAGTATATACTGATAGTGATGGAATACATGGTGGTAATACAATCATTGATGGTAATTCATACTGAGGAATCCATCCTGCAGAATTAGTAGGAAAGGAATGTCCTGTAAACATGATAAATCATTTTTATATATTTTTTGTAGATAATCAGAAGAAATTATTTTTTATAAATAGATTTCACCTATTACTCGTATGCATGTAAAGGAAGGAATTACAAAAATTTTGTTTTCTTCTTTTCCTTCATCCCTTGGATCTTTATCAAAAAAATATCCAATGAATTGCTTTGTATATAAATTGTTTTCTTCATTAGGTTGAAAAATGATTTCAAACAGAGCAGAATGGTTTGGACATATTTTTGCAATGCGTGGCTCTATTTTAAAAACTCCAGTAACATCTAAAATATTGTCATTTTATATTACTATTAAAATTATTTATTATTATTAAATAGAATTACCTTGATCCCACTTGAGTAATAAATTGGTTTTATTATGATTTGTAAAACAAACAGTTTGGTGAGTTCTATTTATTTTATTTTTTGTATCGACCTGACTACAGTCAAAATAATTTTTAGATAAAGATATTAGTTCTAAATTTCCTTTCTTTATATTAATACTATCACTCATATATTCTTCAAAACCATTTTGTTCTTGCGAACTAAATTTGTCTGAATCTAAGTTAATCTCAGATTGCTGATGAATTGATGTACAAAATCCAAATAATTTTATAATAATAGGACTCTATATATATATACATATACATATATATGTATAAATATTTGTATTATTGTTAATATTAAAATAAAATTAGATAACATTATGATCAATTAATTTACCTGATACAATATTAAACATGGTAAATGATATACATAAATTCCTTCTTCAGTTGGTATAAAAGTTATTGTTATATATTTATAATCATCAGGATTAAGTATGCCTTGTCTGATATCTAATTTAAAGTGTCTTTGTTCTATATCGATATCAAATGCAAATATCGCTTTTACTTTTGAATGATTTGAAAGTTTTATTTGTTTTTTCACTTGCGTATATTTTTTTGAACATTTTAATATAATTTTATTTGCTGATGATGAAATTTTAGGACCTAAAATAAATAAATAAATAAATAAATTTATTTGAATTAAAACTAGTACTATATATAACATACAACAACAAAAAATAATTACAACTAGTTATTTAACATTTACCAATACAAGTTCCACAAGCAATAATTTTTATATATGTAGAAACGGTGCCAGTAATAATAAAATAATCCACATTTTTAGAACATGGTACAACTGGTCGATATTGTACTTCACAGGAGAAAGATTGTTCAGGTAGTAAAGTCCAGGTATACGACTTCAAATTAAAAACATGATCTATAGGATTTGTTACAGGATCCCTTTGTGCTTCATAAAATTGTTCTTTCTGAAATAAATATAAATTTAGACTGTTACTTCAATTATGAAAGCCATGAATACAATAAATTGAATAGAAATGTGATTAGAAATTAAAAAGACAATTCTACTAACGCAACTTTCATTCATTATCTTAATTGATTTAATAATTGTTCTACCCATTTCAACTTCACCGAAATCAATTATTTTGATATCTTTTGTATCATAGCAGTACTGTGACATTTTTTTTAATTTATTTATTTAAATTAATAAATTATTCTTCTTTATTAAATTCGTACAAAAATAATTGATTGACTTATTTGAAACCCATGAAAATTCGCTCCATTTATTTTTACATACAACGCCATCTACATTTGTAGATAATTAAAGTTCTAGTATTATAGTCACGTGCCATAATTAGCGACTTTTGTAGCGCGAAAAAATGTCAAAAAATTGATTAGTAATTTCTAACAAGAAAGTTTGTGTGTGTATTTAATTTTTAAAATTTTTCAATTATTTTATATATATATATATATATACATACATATACATATACGTGATAAATTTTAGAATTAGTTATCGGTAACAATGAAATTTTTAGCATATATATTTTTATTAATTATTTTTGAAAAAATGGATTATACCGTATTATCATCAAAAATTAAAATAAATCCTACGAAAACGATACTTTGGGGTCCCGGCTTGAAGCCTGATAAAATTACGATGCGAGCAAGATATTTTTTTTTACAGCTTGTAGATACACAAGGACAAAAGTTAGTAAATATTTTTGTTTATATCATTTGTTAATGTGTTTATTAAATTATATTAATTAAAAAATAAATAAATAAAAATAAAAATAATAACCGTTTCTTTTTTTATATTGAATCATTGTAAATTTATGAGCATGTATACGAAATATTAAATTTTACTCTTAACAATCTAACTTGCAGAATTTTTCGATTTTTAACAAATGTAATTAATTATAATAAATTGATTTATAAAATAGTTAATGACATATGCTGCAGCTTAACTGTTTCACCTGGTGCAGGAATTGTTACTGCTGTAATAAAAGGCCAAACCTGGAACAAACAATCGTGTCATATATGGACACAAGTCCTTGATTGTAAAGATGGTAGTTTTATTATACGTTATAAACTTCATAACACTTGTTTGAATGTGATTTTGTATATAAAAGTAAACGGACAAGATTTACAAATTCTTCCATTAAAGATTATAGGTAGGTTTATATAATATTAAAAATTTTCATAAAAATCATTGAAGATTTTTTTAGGTCCTGTATACGAGGAAGAATGCTATTGTCCAAATACTAATTTCAACGATTGGTTAAATAATTATGAATGCCCTAATAATTATGCACAAATTACTTCTGATCTTACTCCTTTCGCAAGTGTTGATTTCAATAAAATACGTAATAATTTGATTAAAAAGTATGACAAACCTAACAGTGTTAGTCTTTGTCATTATATTATAAAAAATAATAGAGTAAGCATTTTCTATTATTTCAAAATATTTTTTTTTGCTTTCTGATTTATCCTTAATTCAATAATATTAGATTTATAGAAAATGCTATGGACAACATGTAGGATTTAAAATATTTATGGATGCAATATTGCTTTCTCTTGCACGCAAAGTAATCCTTCCAGATGTAGAATTTTTTGTTAATTTGGGAGATTGGCCGCTTGTACCAAAAGAAGAAGTAAATTATCCTATTTTTTCATGGTGTGGATCTATCGATACAAAAGATATTGTTATGCCAACATATGATATTACAGAATCATCTTTAGAAGCTATGGGAAGGTAAAAATGAATTAATAATTAATCAATATTGTTTCACTTTATTTCCGATTCGATTTATTATATCTAATTCTATTTACTTGTTCAATTGATCTTTGAAAAAAAAAAAGAATAACTTTATTGCCCTATATACTACATAGTACAAGTTACAAATGTATAATTTAATTAAATTCTTTTTTATGTAATATGAATGCATTACTAAAAAAAAAAAGAGTAATGCTAGACATGTTATCTGTACAAGGTAATACAGATACCCCATGGGAAAAAAAAATAGAAAAATTATTCTGGCGTGGCCGTGATGCCCGTAGAGAACGTCTTGATCTCATAGACATTTCCAGGGAACATCCAGACTTATTTAATGTATCACTTACCAATTTCTTTTTTTTTAAAAATGAAATAGAGAAATATGGTCCTGCACAAAGTCATATTTCATTTTTTCAATTTTTTAAGGTAAACATATGCATAAATCTAACATAAAGAATCGATTTTCTTAACAAAAATTTTATGTATAAAAAAAAAAAATATTAATATGTTTATTATCTATAATTTCAATGTTTCTATAGCACAAGTATCAGCTGAACATCGATGGTACAGTGGCAGCATACAGATTTCCATATTTACTAGCAGGAGATTCTTTAGTACTGAAACAAAAATCTAAGTATTATGAATTTTTTTATAATGATTTAATACCTGAAAGACATTATGTACTAGTAAAAAGGGATTTATCAGATTTAGTTGAGAAAATTAAATGGGCCAAAGAAAATGATAAGATTGCTTTAAACATTTCAAAAACTTCTAGACAATTCATAAGAGATAATCTGTTACCGCAGCATATTTTTTGTTACTACAGCGTGCTTCTCCAAGTACGGGTCAAGAATCATTTATTCAAATTATTTACTATATTTTCTATTATATTTTTATCTGTCATAAAATATCATACTTTTTTTTTATCATTTTATTTTAGGAATGGAGTAAACGTCTTACTAATAAGATCAAGATATTAGATAATATGGAGGAAGTTTTACAACCACAGCATTCCTGTAAATGTAATATTGATGATGTAAATTTAAAGGATGAACTTTAATTGTTAATCAATGGATTAAATCTTTAACTATCAACTTCACATTTTTTGATTATTAAGTTTAAGACACTAAATATATTTCTTTTATTTTGTTATTTTTATAAACACTATTTTTACTATATTACATTATTCCATGATAAACTATGTGCTCTTATAAATTACATTATCATCTCCTTTGTAATTTAGAAGTAGAAAGAGGAATATATGTTTCTATATCCAAATCCCTTCAAAAAGTATTCTTTTTATAATAGAATAATAAAAGCTTTAGTCAAGTTTACATACATCCTTGAAAGAAACATTATCATTTTCTTTCTAATAACAAAATAATATCATTATTAACTCATAAATTGAAATGTTTAATGAAATGGTGACAAGTACAAAAGCTAAAATACATCTTAATAGAACTTACTCTTACATAACATAATGTAGAGAAATAAGACAATAACACAAAACATATCTCGCGAAATTAACGAAAAATTCTATATTCTATCGATTTCCTTAATGTCATTATCATTTAATCTATAAAACATATTTAAAAAAAAAAAAAAAAAAAAAATAAAAAAATAAAAAAAGAAAAAAAAAACAAAAAAAAACCCCCCAAAAAAAAACAAAAAAAAAAACTAAAAAAAAAATTCTTAATATTATATCGAATAATTAGATTAATATTTCCATTCAACAATAGTTACTATAGTAGAATTGTTCCAGTAAAAATAAAATTTTACAAGAAATATTTTTCAGAGAGTAAAACACTTATATTTTTTTAAACTATAGATTAATTTGCAATAGCTTATTCTATTGAGGAGGGGGTTGATAACCATATCCTCCATACTGATTAGGTGGTGGTGGTCCTTGTGGTCCGGGTGGAGGAGGCATGTGTCCACCTGGTGGTCGTGGTGGGTATTGTGGATAGCCTTGTCCTGTTGGTGGAGGTGGATAGCTTTGTGGAGGATATTGGGGATGTCCATAATGTTGACCTCCCTGTGGTGGATGTGGAGTGTAAACCTATAATATGTTATTTAATATATTATTTATTTTTATATAATAAAACGAACAAGAAAATGTATGATAGAACACTTATATGATAAATTATTTATTAAATTATAATTACTTGTGGTTGCCCGCCAGGAGTTGGTGGAACATACGTTTGCGTTGTCGCAGGTCCATAACCTGGTTGTGGCTGCGGTCCCGGTGGTGGTGCTGGACCCTGGGGTGGACCTGATGATGGTTGAAATCCGCTTGAAGCAGGACTTGGGGACTGTTGCTGTTGGGATTGAGGAGGATTTTGAGATTGTTGTTGAGATTGCGGAGGAGGTTGATGAGAAGGTTGATGGGAAGGTGGTTGATGAGATGGTTGATGAGATGGTTGATGAGGAGGTTGATGCGGAGTATGAGGAGGTTGATGAGGTGATTGATGCGAGGGTGGATGATTTGGATGAGAGCTTGGATGAGGTGTTTGATGAACTGGATAAACGGAAGATGTAGGAACAACAGGGGCATAGTTCCCACCTTGAGATGTTGGTGGTGGACCACTACTTGGTGAATAGGTTTGTGTGGAAGCAGATGGTGTACTAGTTGGTTGACTACTTTGAACGTATGTATTGGCGATTGGTGATTGATGCGAAGACGGATGTGTTGGATGAGAGCTTGGATGAGGCGTTTGATGAACCGGATAAACAGAAGGCGTGGGAATAGGAGCATAATTTCCACCTTGAGATGTAGGTGGTGGTCCACTGCTTGGCGAATAAGTTTGCGTGGAAGCAGATGGTGTACTAGTTGGTTGACTACTTTGAGCGTATGTATTGGCTGCACTTGCTGCTGCAGTACTAAATGGAGGAGATGTAGAAGCTGGACCATATTGTGTTGGACCAGGACCAGGACTCGATTGATTACCATAACTGGACTGAGGACCAGAAGTTTGCTGTGAACCTGGTTGTGGGGGTTGAGCTGTGCTAGATGTAGGAGGAGGTGGATAATTTTGCGGAGGTACATTATTGGCATAAGCTTGAGAGGAGGGTGGAGGATAAGTTCCTGGTTGACCAGTTCCATATGCATTTTGTGGTGGTGGTTGTGATGGAGCCTGTTGATAGCTTGGTTGTGGGCTAGGACTGCCATATTGTCCAGTTTGTTGTTGTTGACCACTAGATTGAAAGTTTTGTTGAGATGTATTAGAAGGAGGATAGCCTTGTTGATTTGGTGGAGGAGGTCCATATCCGGCAGGTGGCTGAGTTGATCCTGGAGGAGGATAACCTGGTTGTGGACCATAGCTATTTACTGTTGTCGGAGGGCCATAATTTGGTTGTGAAGATGTATTATATCCTTGTGGCTGAGAAGCATTTGGTGGTCCATATTGATTTGGTTGACCTGGTGTATATGCAGCTCCTTGAGGTCCTTGATAATTAGATCCTGGATTTTGATTTGCATATTGAGCTGGATATGCTTGCTGTGTTGGTTGTTGAGAGTATTGAGGGCCACCTCTATATTGTTGAGGTCCAGGCGCAGCAGTAGGTCCTTGATAAACAAAAATATAATTAATACTTTCTAGTTATTTAATAATTTTATACGGATATAAATATAATGATAAAAATTTAATATTTAAAAACATACTGTTAATAGTAGGACCTTGACCAGGCATTACAGGTCCACGATAACCACCCTGCGTCATAGGCTGTCCTTGATTAAAATTAGACATTGGTAATGTTGGTTGTGTATTAGGAGGCATGTCTGCTCCTGGACCAGCTGAATTTCCAGGACCACTTGGGAGCCCTTGTGGACTGATTATCGGATGTTGTGGTCCATTAGGAATTCCTTGTGGTGGCTTATTAAAAAAAAAAAAAAAAAAAAAAAAAAAAGAAAGAAAAAAGAAAAGGAAGAAAGAAAAGAAAAAATTTCTTTTTAATGTTACATGTCTTTTGAAATAATATAAATATAATCCAAATATAATTGCATCATATCTTACCGGAAGTAATGCTTGTATATTTTGATTTGCATCTGCAATTGATGCCAAATATACAAGATTACGGTGCAACAGTTGTTGATATCTAAAAAGAAAATCTTGTAGATTCTAATTCATGTCTTTTGCACATATAAATACAAATATTAATTTAAGATGTACATACTGTATGCATTCTTGTGGTTTGCCTTTGCTTTGATATTCTTGAATAGTCTGTATAAGTTGACTGTTTTCATCGAGCATCTAAAAAATATTGAAATATTAACATTTTATTAGAATCTTTTTTTTTTTTTAACAACACATAAACTTCTACATAGGATAAATATAATATTTAATAAATTAAAACATTATGCATTACTTTTTGTATTTGCGCTGGCGTTAGAGATGGTCTGCCGCGTTGAGCAAAGGTCACAGACATTTTAAAAATTTCGCGTTAGCCTTGAATCGTCAAGAAAATAAAAATATTCGCACCTCTTTTTATTTCGTTCTGCGTTCTTTAGTAAGTTTACATATTAATAAATGATACAATACTAAATATCTCTCGGTATCATTATACTAATCCGTGGATACTCTTTCGGCATATACTCTTTCCTATATTATATGATATTTATGATTTCACAAGAAAAAAGAAAAAAAAAAACACTTGCAATACGTAAAATCCTAGAGATTTTTTTTTTCAATTTAACACCTTTTACGAGATTCACGTTTCATACGATCCGAGTTATTTTGCAATATACTCGCAATTTCTCAAACGGAATGATTACCTATACAATTATACAATGGGTGCTTTCCATTTCGATGACTCTCATATCGAGTTGCGTCGAGTTATGTCGAGTCGTCTCTACTATAGTCGAATCAATCGAAACGATTAATGAAAAACATCGTGTTTAAGGTTGGTAAGACAAGAGAAAAAAAACAGGGAGCGAGAGAGAGAGAGAGAGAGAGAGAGAGATTATCGATTCTAAAATTCCATTGAAATTGAACCTAGAAATATATTCCTAAATCCTTTTTTTTTTTTTTTTTACCGGCTCTGATATACTTCGTCTCATATTTTTGCTAAATTTGCATGTAAAAATTTATGCTCGTATATCGGGTCATCGATATATAATTCGATAAATCGAACATATTTCAATATTCAAACACAATTGGATTACTTTTAGAAACTGTTATTTACAAATGGTTACCTTTTAACCAATGAGATTTCAAGATTTTACGTATTGCATTTTAAAATGCAAAAACAAACGCAATTGTACGTCATAAAATGAATTAAAATAATTCGATAAATTCGATTGAAATTAAGCATGAGAAATTTTTATTGTTATATATTTTTAAAGATTTATACAAAAAAAAAGGAAAAAAAAGAAAATATGATCGATTAATTAGATCAGTGCAGTCCTTCTTAAACCTGCGCTAATTAAAAATGAACATGTCTATTGATTGGTATACTTTTTGTATACATATTCATATAAATGGGGTTAATTTTTATACAAATGGGGTTAATACTTTTCATACAAATAGATTGAAAAAAAAAATTAATTTAATTCTGTTCTATTAAAGTACCATCTTTTAATTTTTTATATTTATATACTGATCCTTTATGTCTTTCTGCCCAAAATGTAGTTTCTACTTTAGATAATATCCATTCTGGATTTACAGCTGCTTCTTGGAATTGCGATATATCCGTTACTTTATCTACAGTTTTTTTTCTTTTTTTATGATTTTTTAATTCCACGACTAAATCTTCATCCGTTAATAGATTTATCGAAGAGCTCAAAAGTTTTATACCATATTTCTTATTTAATTCATTTTTATTTTTATTAATAACGTTGTTTTTTGAATTCGTTTTATTGTCCAATTTCACTGTTCTGAGAAAGAAAAAAAATAAATAAATAAAATAAAATACATTTATTAATGTTTATATATAAAACTTTTTTTATTACTGTACCTTTCCAACAAAGCATCTAATTTTTTGGCAACATAAGCTTTAAATGTTGTTGACACTCCAAAATTGCAGAAATCATCTTCCTGTACATTTTGTCGCAATGATTTAGCATTTATATTATTAAACTTTTCTTTAGATTCCTCCTAAAATAAAGAAACAGTATTATTAAATCCAATGAAGTAAAATAGGTTAGATTCCTAATAATTACAGAATCTTTTGTAATTGTTTGAGTAGTGAATAAGATTGGCTTTAAAAAATTTATATCCGTTGCTTCTTTTAAAGCCTCTTTAGATATTTCATCCTCAGAACTTGAACATTCACCATCACTGTTATTCTTCTTGCTTAACATTCTTAAATGTGAAAATGTCAAGCCTAGAACATGTACCAAAAAAAAAAAAAAAAAATCTAGCCTCAAAAAAAATTTGATATAGATAATCCAGAAAAAAGGAATAATTGTATAATATTGATAAGATTTTTTAATACGTGTATATTTTTTATTTTATATTATTATTTTTAAATTGACAAAAGAAATGATTCCCACCTATTCACAAAACATTCTCACATATTTCCAATTATATTTTCATCCACTGTCCTTAATACTATTCTTAGATTAGCTTATTATTTATTTACGTTTATAAATATTTTTTTGTTTGATAAATTATTCGTTTTATTGATATATTCATACCACATAAGATTTCCATAACAATTAATTTATTTATTACAAACATTTGTACATTTCATGTGAATATATTTTTGCCGTAAGATTTGATCCATGACACATAAAATTCTAATTTCTTCATACATGCAAATAACATTTTTCTTGAAAGATCACTATTTTTTACTTCGTTATGTTGAGTAGATTTTTTTGAAAATTGTTCTTCCGTTGTTTTATGCTTATTAATTTTTATTTCTTTTCGCACAGTCGAGAACAATCGCCAAAGTTCAGAAAGAGCGGCACATGTATGCAATGTATCTTTTACTTTTTCTGGATTTCTTATTATAGAAATAGCAGCCTCAACAAAGTCTTCCAATGTCTGATGATCTTTTGGTAAATATTCTATTTGCATGACATTTTGCATAACAGATTGAAGGGCAGATAATTCATTATCAAATATTTTGTTTATCCTCATGGTGTCACAGATACTAAAGAAATTATTACTCGCTTCTTCCGCAAAGTTTAAATAATCACCATTGTAATAAAGTGCTATATATGTATAAGCATAAATCACATTAACGATGGTACAACATAATATTTCTGAAGAAACTACCTATATATTAAAAAACACAAAATATTTACATTGTAAAATTATAAGAAAAATACAATGTCGAATGATTTACATATACATTGTAATATTACCTTTTGTTGATTAAATGATTGAACATCTATTATCGCTGGATATTTTTTTTCATGTTTATCGTTTTGTTTAGTTTCTTCAGTCGTTTCTAAACTTTCTATCAATGGTTTTTTATAAATCACCCACCATGGTATCCATGGTGGCAACAATTTAGATGCTTCTCCGCTTTTTACTAAAGCTTTAAATTGTTGTTTCTCATTATTATTTAACACAGCCCATATTTCATCAGAATTATTCAAATCTATACCTTTTATTCTTTCCTCTAAATCGGGTAACTAAAAAAAAAAGAAAAACATCTATAGAAATTTCATATATCTATCAATTTATAAATTATATCTTACATTTGTTTCATCGTCTGAATCTAATTCTTCATCCGAATCTAATTCTTCATCTTCATTATCTAGAAACATATCATTTTCTAAATTTTGTTCATGCATCCTATTAAGAATACTAAGCATTTTTTTTTTAGTTTCAGGATCATATTGAGAAGATCTAAGTTCATCTTCAACGCATTCCTTGTAAAAACTTTCTGTACAATCTAAATGTTTTTCTGATTTATAACAACTTAAACTACAATAACCTATTTCACATTTAGGACAAGTATAAATTTTAGAATTTTTGTTGCATCTGTAATAAAGAAAGATAATTGATAATAAAATACATTTTTTTTCAATTAATATAAAAATAAAATACAATTCCTTAAATATATACTTACAATTTACAACATTGTTCATTGTCATTTTCACCAAGATAATTCATAATTGTTTGATTATCTTATTTAATCATTTGATGTTATTATATCAAATCTTTGGATTTTTAAAGATAATTACAATATAAAACTATAACGAATATTGTAATCTTTCAATTATACAAAATCATACAAAATAATGATTATTTATATTCATATAGAAGGATATAATCAGGGAATGAACTTCATGTACTTTAGTACAAACGTAAAAAAAAAAAGCGCCATCGCGCCTTAATATTTTGAATGAAAACTGCCAAAAGATCTTTCAGTTTGTTATTATTTTGTGTAACCTATTGTTTGAAAAAAGTAAACGAGCGTCAGATATATATTATATATATATAATGTGGTTTCATATCTTGAAAAATATTTTAATAAGATAAATTATTTTTCTAACAATAAGAAAAGATACGGTAGAATAACGTTGCATTTGATGCGCTGACGTAAAGCCGGTATAAGTTTCTACATACGATTGATCACTCCACGTGTGTGATAACATATGTATAACCTCAATAAAATTTGCGTGGAGATTTTTCGAAATGAATAATAGTGAAAAAATGCAATTAGATGTGTGGAAAGGTGATTGGGGTTTGGCGTCAATTGACATAGAATGTTTGCAAGTTTTGGTATATATAAATATCATCTATTTCATATAATAGAAATGTTTTAACATCATAGCAATTAATATCAATTTCATATTCATATCATTTTTCTGTGGTCTTTGCCTAAACTGACGCCTATGCTTGTTAAATCTAATCTTAATATTATTGTTATATTCAATTTTCTATAATTCATTTTATATGACTTTATACACTTAGGCCTATGCGAGATTCAATGGGATACCGTTACAAGTAAAAGCAACAAATAATCCTTTTAAAACACCAAACGGTCGATTACCTGTATTAAGAACAAAATATACTAGCTTGGATAAAGTTAGTGAAATAATACAGTATCTTAAAGAAACAAATTTCAATTCAACATCTGCAAATAATTCAAAAGAATACGCAGAATTTGTAGCTTATGATACTATGCTTAAAGATAAACTTTATCCTGCAATGCAATTTATATGGTATACATTTTCATTATATTATTTTCTCTCTGGAGATATACTTAATTCTAAAATAGTTTTTATAATAATTTATTCTAGTAATGTATTATTATTATTATTATTATATATATATATATATATATATATGTGTATATGTATATATGTATATATTCATAGGTGGCTAGATCAAACAAATCTTAATGAATTAGTGAGGCCTTGGTATTGTAAAGCTGTGCCTTTTCCTTTGAATTATTATTATCCAAGTAAATTTGAAAATCAAGCGAAAGCTGTGATAGAAATGTTATATCCTACTGAGGATAATATGTCTGTAATAGAAAATAAGGTAATTAGTACATATCATTTCGAAAAGATATTAAATTTGATATATGCGCAAAAATAAATATTTTAACACGGAGGTGGGCACGGAATAAATTTTTTCTGTGCCTATTTCCCCTTGACTATTTATGTAACTTTTGAAATTCTTTTGTTCTTGGTCCACTCTGGTAATATGATTGACTTTATACAACCCTAATAAAATATATATTTATGACATATTTTTTATCTCTGTTAAATACATAGCAGGGCCATAATAAGATGAATAAAACTGACAGTATAGTTCCTCATAATCTATTAGATAAAGAAAAATAGAGAGGGGGAGAGAAAGAATAAGAGTACTTCTTAAGTTACCGGTAAGCTACGTGCTCACCTCTGATATTCTACATTGCAAGATAATTAAAATGATTGAGAAATATTAAAGTTTGAAAGAGATTAATATTACAATATAATATTTTTTTATGCTACATATATATATTTTTATGTCAGTCTACTAAAATTGTAATTTAAAAAAAAAGATTCTACCTTATTTTCATTTATACGCTTGTATATTTATATAATATGATAGAAATGTTATTTCCTTAGGTATATTCAGAGGCTCAAAAATGCTTAACATCATTATCTACTAGACTTGGAGATTCTAAGTATTTTCTTGGCCAATCTCATACTATGTTGGATGCGGTTGTATACTCTTATTTAGCACCATTATTGAAAACACCTTTAGTTAATCCTCCTTTGCAAAATCATTTAAAAGCATGTACGAATTTGGTCAATTTTGTAACACATATATCGCAAAAGTATTTTAGAGATGAATATCAACAATATGAGAAAATAAAGTCAGAAAATAACGTAAAGAGAATGAGAAAAGACTCTTACACAGAATTTCCAAATAAACGACGTGATCAAATATTAGCTGGTATATTTGCTGCAGTAGCTATGATTGGTTATGCCTTATTAACTGGGAAATTGGAGGTAAATTATAAAAATTCCGGAACATTACATTTTTAATTAATATTCGTTTATTGCCAACTAACAAAATATTTTAGGTGCCTATAAAGGACAATAAAATGATTAGTCAAGCTGAAGAATATATATTAGAGGATGAAGTTGATGAATAAGATTTATTTAAGGTATTCAAATAGTAACAATAAAAATTTTGAATAACAGTGTCATAAATATATGGTTTTATATTTCACAATAATAAACAGTTTATTTTTTTGGAAATATAAGCTATTATTTTGCATTTTAAATGCATGATAAATGGAATTATAAACTTTGCCATTAATTTTTTCTTGATCTATGTTTTGGAAAAATTCCAGAAGTAGCACATTGTATTTCTTCTATGAAACTTTCAAAATTATGAATTGTAGTACCACCTAAGATAATTTGTACGCCCGGATTTTGTTTGTTTAAGTTATATATAGTTAAACTTTCTTCATATGTTGTTCCACCTATCATAAACACAATAATATCTTGTGGCCTATGAAGTTAAGAAAATAATTAGAGATATGTTTATAATCATTGAAAATGCATTAAATAGCTGTAGAAAATTCCTATATTTACCGTTTAGACATAACTATGTTTCCCAAAAATGGATATGTTTGCGTATTTAATCTTCCTTTTATTAAATCTTCAATAATCTCATTTATTAGTGGCGTATGTTGCGTGTATACATTATCTACTCCATTCAATTCTTTAAATAGTTTTTTTGTGATTTTTACAACTGATTCTTTGTCAAATAAATTATTTTGCCTATTATTAATACCACTATATTCTAATACATTATAAACAAGCTGTAGAATAAAAAAAATAATTATTTATTAACTTTACAACTTATGCACGAAAAAAGTTCTGCAATATTTATGCTTAATTTGTTATATAATAATTTATTACCTTAACATATTTCTCTGAAATATTCCTTTTCTTCAATAAATCTAACAAGACAGAAATCTGATTATTTGCATGATTCTCATAATGAAGTGCATAAAGCATGACTAATCGTGCAGCATCGAGTTCTCTTACTTTCTCATCGTTAATAAGCTTTTTAACTCTCTGGAGCTATAAGAATAAAATAATTCTTTTTTCCTCCATAAAACTTCATATACATTCATTTATACAATATTATAAGATTATACAATATTGACAATAAAAATAACATACTTGTGTTGAATGATCATTTTGACAACTGAGTTCTTGTTCTAATGCCGATACTTCCAACAAATTATGTTTACCAACAAGGGAAGAAAGTTCTCCCACAACAGTTACATGTTTAGTTACAGTTCCAGACATTTTTTTGAAGAGTGGATACGTTTCTACAAAATTTTTCATATCTTCTATACTTTCTACTTTCTGTTGATTTTTTGCCTTTCTTTGAAATACATCCATCAGTTCCTTTATTGTCTGTCCAATTTCTCCAAAATTTAGATACAAGTTCTATTTGAAAGAATATATTTATAAATAAAAGAATGTAACGTACATTCTCGATAATTATTGTTTTAATTACTTTCTTACATTGGCATAAAATTCATCATGTTCCGCGCTAAGAACAACTTCTTTTAACTCTTTAGATATATCTTTTACATGAGATAAATTAACACGATTATTATTAATTGTTAGTAATTCATGGACCATTGCTTGATATGTCCACTGATTTAATAATGGCGTAACTGGATCATCTCTTCTATCGACAATGAGTAACACAGGATTAGATTCCTGTCTGAATTCAAAAGAACTTGATTCCTTACTTAATACCTCACGAATTTTCTCTGCTAACTTTTTTGCCATTTCAGAACTATTTTGATAACGAATAAATGGACATTTCTTAAGTGATAATAAAACTGACGTTATACCTTGCACTGTTCTTTGCAAATGTTCCGGATTCCATACCAAGCCTTAAAAATAAATTTGTCACATAATAATCTTATTTTAAATTGATATTCATTATTATTTAAACTACAATATATTAAAGCGACATAATTGCTTGTCACGCTATAATACCTTTAGAACATGCAGGAATCCCAAGTGAAAATAAATGTGGACTAATTGCTAAATAATCTGCATAATACTCGTGAACTTCTCTGACTACTTCGTGTTCGTCACTTTCAGCCAGAAGTTTGATATCAGCCTTTGCAATAATGTTACTAAAATCTATATATTGAAATTACATTAAAGTAAATATTTGATATATATATATATATATATATATATATATATATATATGTATACATTTTGATGATACTTAATAAAATATATATAATTCTTACTCACAAATAAAATAAACACCATATTTAGGGAATTTTAATTCATTACAAAGTAATTGAATATTTTCCTTAGTTGGTCTTATGAAAACAATACATTTTAAATGCATTAAACTATCAGTACGGATACCAGAATCTATTCTTTCAAATAAGTAAACTTCCTTCATTAACATCTCGGATTGACTATATAATAAACTAACTATACTTGTCTGTAAAAAAATAAACATTTTCATGTAAAGATCAAAGTAATGTTTATATATTACTGATAGCTGTCAAAATAAATATTTCAGTCTTACTATTTTAATAAGTAATTTCTACTTGAAAAAAAATATATATATATGTATAAAATATATATGAGATATATGAAAAGAGAGTTGATAATATTTGTTGAAAAACATATTGTTGTTTTACCGTTTGTTTATCCATTAGAAGAACCTTCATATTTGGTCCTGCTTCATCTGTCATTTTTGTAATATAAAACTTTAAAGCTGTTACAACACTCATTTTGACGACGATTAATTTACTATTTCAATTGTAGAATATTATTTTCTTATCATTCGTCATATGATTACTCTTCTTTTATCATTTAATTTAATTAGCACCTTTCTAACACCTTTCCAGTATTATGAAATTAGGTTATATCGATGTATTAATTTTTAGCATCGTATTTTGACATTTATCAAAAATAATGCGAGTTTCTAAACGTTTTGCTTTCGAAAATATATTCCCAATCGATTCATACATTATTTAACGTCATACTTTTTACGACATGGTTAGAAGTAAAAGTAGAGTAAAAGAAGTAAGAAAATAGTGTAATATCCTAAAATACATTCCTATAAGTAAAACGAAAATACAAACGTTACATATATATTTGACAATAAAATTTTACAAAATGTTTATTACTTGATAAGTAATATTCAATTTATAAGGACCTATTTTAATAGAGAAATAATTATTAAAATAGTTTTTATGAAATTTACAATTACTTCGCTATGATAAGAAGAACTTAATAAAGCTACAATGCGATTGGTTAAAAATTTGACGAATTATAATCGACCTTATATAAGTTAATAAAAAATGTCACAATACAGAATGAAATGATGGCGTTGTTGTTGTATTCCTAATTAATTGTGATAAGTAATATTTGTTATTAGTTGATATAAATATTCTTGTTAATATAAAACGGATGAAACTATTATTATATATGTAACGATATATATATATATATACTCTCCTTTATATCACCTATAAGACAATTTTGTAAGGATGGAATTATTAATCCTGTTCAATATATAATAATAAAATTTAATAGAAATTCTTCATAACGTTCACATAAATTAAATGAAAATTGATGGAATTTTTAACGATGTAACAGATCGTAGGAAGAAAAAAGAAAATGACGTGATAGATCGGAAAACATTTTCTTTATTCTCAATTTAATCTGCAACAAGTGTCTGATCGATATACACACACATATATATATATATATATATATATATATATATACGTATAAGCGTGTAAGTAATATAAACACAACTACTTATTTACTAAAAACTGTGCTGCGCAATTTTTTCACATGTAAATAAATATTAATATATAATTTGTCAAAATTTATCTATTTACATAATTGATTGCGACTTAGGGTAAGAATAATAATAAAAAAAAAAAGGAAAAAAAAAAGAGAAAAAAAATAATAAAAATAATTGAATAAAAAAGAATGTATTTAAAATATAAACTATAAATAAATAATAATAGACGATAGATGTAGATAATTTAAACAAAGAAAGATATATATATATATATATATATAAAATTTATCATGAGTATAAATTAACGATACAAAAAACATTTCATAATGAAAGTACAAACATTGCGTATAGTAATGATTATGTTACAGTGAAACAAACATAAAACGAGTCAGACGAGTAAGAGATGAAGAAATACTTAAAAAATAGTTTCAAGTAGTTCTGATATATGGTATGAAATAATACGATACAATCTGATAAAGGTATTATCAAATGATTCTCTTTATTTTATCAACAATATATCTTACTTTCATATACATGCTTTTTTATCCAAGAAGGTCCTTTTTCATTCTCCCTAGTTTCTCTCTCTCTCTTACTCTCTCTCTCTCTCCCCGTTCGAGCAACGTAGCAATCGATTTGAAATCCAACGCATGCCCTCCTCGTTTATCGTGGTAAGAGTTTTGTTCACTCAGTCCAGTGGCATCAGAGCTATCAGACCAAATACGTACTTTATAAAGGAGTTATGTTATAAAAGTTTTCCCTTCTTATCTTATTTCCAAGTGATTACAAAGCAAAAAGAGAGACAGTCATTATCGATTCGGCAAAACTTTAATTCATAATATCTGCATGCTGTCCAATCTACGGGTAAGTTCTATATCTAATTAAATTTTTATTTGCCGGAAAGAACGATGCCCATTCCATACCACCACGCAGTTTGTTGAAAGAAAGGAAGGATCGGTGGTGGGAAGGAGTACGATGACAACCTGATGCTTCGACCCATTCTTAAATGTTTCCTTATTGTAGAAAATGTTTTCATTAATTAAATCACTTAAAGGAAAAATCAAATGACGTATAATTAGAGAGCTTATATTATAAAAGAAATGAGAAGAGAGAAAGGGGTGGGGGAGGGAAGAAGAAAGAAGTAAAGAAAAGAAAGAGCAAAAAAAAATGTGAATGTTTATATTTCTTTTTAATTACATTCAAGTTTTCTCTTCTAAATATTATTTCATTGTGTTCATTCAAAGTAAATTTGTAATTGGGGAGACGTGAGGGAGGGGGGAAAAGATGTGCTTTATGAGAATTCAAAACTTCGTTCTCATTTTTCAAAAAGAGAACAGCTGTTGTCACGCCTATATGATAGTTGTCGCTCAATTGATTGTGTGATTTTTTTCAATCGATTTAAATCGCGCGAAATTACATGTACAAATAGAACAATCTTCTTTTCATAGGTATTAATTTTAATTGGATAAAAAAAAAAATGTTATATATTCGTGTTATATATTCGAAAATGAATGAAACAATCGAAGTATTAATTTTGTAAGATAAAGTTATATGTTTTAATTGTACTTCATTAATGAACTTTTTAAAACTCTAACAAAAGTACAGGCAAAACTTTTAAAAACAATTTAAAGTTCATTTCGAATGTTTTAATATTGTTGATTATAATTTGTTAAAACATAAATCTCTTTTACTTTGAAATTTAACTTAGATACGTATATTGTTATTCATATTTTTTATATAAAGAGTATAAAAATACGAATTCATTCGGACATTGGAGTACGATAGAGAAGAGAAGAGATCATAACATTATAAATATATAAATTATGCGAATATAAAGATCACCCCCTTTATCTCGCAGTTTTCTTTATCAGTTTATTCTTCATAGTTATGGCAGTCGAATGGAGCATTAGTAATCTAATTTATGTTATAAATTATAATTTATGCAATTTTCAGTTTCTCCCTGTTATAACAATTTTATGCTACGATTCACTCGTATGTTTGTTCTTTAATTTAATTTAGTTTAATTTAATTTAAAAAAACGCTTATATTCCATTTATCGTTTACTATCCTCATTTAATCGGTCAAGTAGCATTCCTATTTTAGACTGGGTCCTTCTTAAGTACTTTCGTTAAGTGTATATATATATATATATATATATATATAGACACACACACACACACAAATGTAGCAACCTGTAGCTACCTAATAAACAAACAAATAAAAATACTGAAACGATTCCCGAACCATTATCCGTAATGGTCGAACGTGTTTCACGCAGTTTTCTTTATTGTATCCTAAAATATATCAGTTATTAAGAATCACACAAACAAACACACACACACACACAAACACACTCACACACATGTACATTCGCTTTTTTCGTCTTTATATAATAACACATAAATTTTTTTTCTAGCCCTTTGGACAAGGGAGATTAAGAGGTAAACGTTCTATAAACTGGCCTGACAATTGGAAAATTATCTATGGGGTATAAGAATTTTTGGCACGGAGGATTAGGGCTGTTATTGCTCTGTATCCTTCATCATGACATTCTTGCTGATGGTGACATCGGTGAGTATTTAATTTACGATTATTTTAGTTAATGCTAATGATAAACGGTCAAACGATCAAATTCAATTTCATTTTATGTCTTTTACTAATCAATTCTATCCAACTTTATTTATCTTAATAATTCTAAACTCCAAGCCCGTTTTTGAATGTAAATTACGAATTTATATTGCAATGGGATTGACGAGGTATTAAAGGGGGCAAGTATTATCATATAAATTGCGATGGAATTAAATACGTTACGTCAGTCGTTCTTTTTTTTCTCTTTTTTTTTTCTTTTTTTTTTTTTTTGTTTGAATTAATATTTCGCACGAAGAAAGAATTTTCACATTTGTACGTATTTCTTTGTACCTTTTTCGTTTTTTTCATTTTTCTTGTCTATATTAAAATTAAAGAGTTAGCGAGCTTTGAAAGCTCTCTGATGCATGCGAAACGTAAGTTGGTAATTTCATTTCTTAGGTCGCTTATATGATAAGTAGTATTATCGATTGATGGATTTAATAAAATGTGAGAAAAATTACTTCTGCGTTCTCTTTTCTTTTCTAGGATATAAGCTCATTCCATAAACTCTCTCTCTCTCTCTCTCTCTCTCTCTCTCTCTCTCTCTCTCTCTCTCTCTCTCTCTCTCTCTCTTTTTCTCTCTTTTTTTCTCTTTTTTATTATTTCTTCTTTCATTTTAATTCTTTCAAACCCCTGCACATATTCTCAACGAGACAACATAAAAATGTTTATTATTATTTTAATTGTATTGATATGAGAGGAGAATAGAACTCAAAGGATCTCTCCAAAATAAAAAAACATATTTTTTTTTTTACGATCTTTTTCATATTGACCGTATTTCAAAAGATTGTCGTAAAAGTTTGTAACCATCCCATAAACTTAACTTCCATCTACTCAACGCGAACTTTTCTATTTCTATTATTACCTTTCAGCAAGTCACGTTAATAAACCTTGACCTTTTATTCAGAATTTTTAGAACTTTCATTTACGCATACCTGTCACAATCATTATAATTTTTATTTGTTATTTATCTAATCTTTCAACGGCGTATAAATAATATATTTAATTCAATTTAAATGCTAATATTATGTACTATATGAACGAACGGAGAATATAAACAAAATGAATGAAAAACATTCGTTCGATTTGAGAAGAATATTTCTTTAAAAAATCCCTTTTATTGTTTTTTATACAATTTTTAAATGATCCTCGACAATTCATAATGATTTGTTTGTTTGAAAGAATGAATGAGTGAGTGAATGAGTGAATGAATGAATGAATGAATGAATGAATGAAATGCACTTAGATTTTTTCTCCATATGTATTTATCCTATATATTTTTTCCAACATATACATGTATATATATATATATATATATATATATATGTATATATATATATACTTACATAGTTAACTTTCTCGTATCGAAATCGATATCGGAAAATAGTTGAACGATAGCCTAGGGTCTAGGCTTTGTTTGAATGCAGCAATACGTATACGTACATATATATATATGCATATATATATATATATATATATACATGCTTAGGAATATAGTTCGTCGATAAGCTTTGTTCGATGTAAATAGTAGACTCATATCGTAGCACGAGCTGCAAGAGAAATTCGGAAGTACTTTTGAATAGCAATGTTAAAATAAATGAGGCGAATAAGGGACAGAGTTCGATTTTCGCCCACGTTCTTAGCAACAGTTATTGAGCCGTACATCTAGTACAGTTAGCTAGCAGCCACCGCCTTCGACTTTGGTGTCTCTCTTCGAGGCCATTTTCCACGCCCATGTTCTTTCATATTTTTCTCCTTATGTATATAATTTTCATTATATACACGATCCTTTTCATTTAAAATTCTTTTTATATTTTACTTCTCCACT